ACAAAATTACTACTAGAAGTATTATAACTGACTTAAACAATACTAGTCAAAGTATGCGACATTATCCTGAACACATTTCTGCTCCCTTCAGGCAACAAATCAGTACCACATTTATGTTTAGAATTTTCTAAGCTTAGCCTTCTCTGGGTGCGAAATTTCCGGAACTTGCCGCATCAGGTTGTCTAAACAAAAGCTCTCATTCGCAGTTGAGCTTTACGAGTACGAATTAGAACTCGGGCACCGACCGCCTTCAAGAACCTAACACGTGCGAAGCCATGGATTTTTGTTCACACAAACAACGTTTTGGTCCTATGGTGGGTTTCGCGCCGGCAACACCAACTTGAAGTCACGTCGACGTCGCCGTAATCCCAAACTGCTTCATGACAACACAAGGCTCTATGTCACCACATGACAAAGAGGAAGTTGATCGATCTGGGCTAGGAGTTGCTTGATTATCTGCCGCACAGTCCTGACTTGTCGCCATCTGACTATCACCTCTTCCGATCGGTGGAGAACTTCCTGAGTAGGAAGAAGTTCCAGGACATCAATCATTTGCGTCGAGTATCCACAGCTTTCCTTAAATCCAAGGATGGCGAGTTCCATGAGTGCTGTATTGACTTGTTGCCTGAGAAATGACAGAAATGTGCTCAAGCTGATGGCGTATGCTTCAAATAGTGTTGTTAAGCAATTTTAATAACGTCCGGTTGACAAATTTGGTGTTTATTACTGTGGCGTCAAAGTTTATGAGAAGACGGAATGGAATTACAAATGTTCGTCATGGGACATACCGTATAAAAGAGTTGCAAGTAGAAAGGATCAGCATAAAATCTCGTCCCAGGCCACAGATCCCTTGGAAAATTTCTAAGAGCTGTACAAAAAGAAATGTGAAAAGTGAACAATAGGAGAAGTTTTCCTTGGAATTGCCTTCTCTCAAGAATACCTTGGACAGCTTCGCATTACACTTTCGTCGATCCAGTTGACACTATATATTGCCGGCTATGATAAGAATGGTGAAACATCTACGTAGAACAGATAGCTAAATTGAGATTTAAGTTTAAATAAACGAAAGGATTCTATAATACCAAAACAACAGGGCGTGCTTGCCTGGGGAAGCACCGTGAGGTCATGTGGCACCGGAGAATAACCAGAAGCTAAGGATACTTCGCTTACCGAAACAAACTGCCCAATTAACTCCAGTGGAAGAATGAATATCCTGAAGAATTTGAGATACAATATCAACTGAGATAGACTATAGATTCCCCTCAGTTCTGATACCTGCACTCTGTATGCATTTATATAGCTTACACCGGCCTTCGATAGCACGATGCATAAAGAGCTCGACCGTTCTCATCCATTGCTAATGAATAAAAAGTAGAACAATTGTGGATCAGTAAAGGTTGACGTCTAAACTGACAATCATATGTTTCAGTGACAGTTCTCACAACTTCTTGATTACAAAAATCTCTACATGAATGAATAAGAAATACCAAAATACTTTGTACGCACTTTGGAAGATAAAAAAGCCGAGAGAACTTGATCTTATATGGATCTTTGCCATCAGTCATAAAATAAGCCGGGTTAACGTGTCCATCGCAATAGAATGAAAAATTTCAGCCGATGACAGAGTGAAATTCACTATGGGATCCTAATTGTAAAAGGATCAATTTTCATTGCCTAAGGTGGCTTTAGTTAGATCTCCGCTAGGTAAAGACGCGAATCCAATTGAAAAGATAATCAAAAGACAAGCGAAAAGATTGATTTGGAGTTGAGTGATGAGGTGTGCGTGCGGCATTCCGCATGATGTTGCTAAGTTCTTTGTAAATCTGCTCCACTGTTTCGAAATTTGGAGGATAAATTTGTGAATAATTGAACGAACTTCTTGGTAGGGCACTGTTTGATCAGCCAGACGTCGTAAATTCATCACAACAAAACCATTTTCACTGTCTGATATAATTGTATTTTCTGGGACTGGAAGGTAGAAGTCGAAGTACAGATAACTGTGTACAGCTGAACTTACTTTAGAGGTCGTACGCCTCGCTCGGATACCTTGTTTGGATGCCTCGTTATCCAAGCACAGGATGAACAACCAGGAAAGTCGGACGAATCGACCGTGATGCTAATGCCTGCTGATACCTTCCAGGTGTAACTTCAATACGACCTCGAATACGATTTGACCTAAATTAGGCACGCCGTGAAGGATGAAATCATAAAGAACCTGAGCTCATGGCAGTCATAAAAGAAAACGGATTAGACTCTCGGCGCTCTTGAATTCTTGAAGGATGCATGATACATTTGTCTCCATATTTCAACTTCATTTGAGACGATTCAATGCGTAATTGGCCTTTACAGCGACTCGACGTTGGCCTACCGCTGTATCGCGTCAGTGTTGCTTGTAATCCAAAACAGATCTGAGACCAGGCTTGTACCAATTTACCGTGCGAGGTCGAGCCATTGACCATAAATGCGAAGCAGACCACCTTTAATCACTGCCTCATCTGTGCACCACAAAGGAAGTAGTTCCAAATTACAGTTCGAGCAGACAAAAGTTCTTGATCGCTAATAGATTAAAGTAACTCTCTCACCAATAGATATTTCTTGACATCCAATCCACAGATAGAGAATGCATAGCACTTAGGCTGGGCTGATCAACAACAGTCTCTGAGACAGATTCAGTAAGCGAAACTCGTCTGATATAACCCAGTGAGGACGATGAATAGCCGAACACTACATATTCACTGCGCTAAAGAATACACTAATTACTGATAATGTGTATAGTTTAGTTTTCTCCCTCACCTGATCAATGTCAGCGGTAGTCGAATTATCAGTGACTTTTAATACACCCTGTGAATCGAAGTTCGTTGGTCTATCAGATGTTACAGAAGAGAACCATCAGAAGAAGTTTTAGAGAAGTAATGAAATCAACGACTCTAAGGAAGCTCACGAAATATCTGCGACACCATCTTAGAGTAATGCAAAGTGGGCTGAAGGTTTTCTGCACGCTTGGCGGTCATACATCACTTAAATCCAATCGAGCATACACATTTTGGCACTCCGTAAGCAAAACATAACCCACTGCTATGGCGAAAAAGGAGAGCAGCGTGAGCCGCATCGAAACCTTTTGAAGAAGCCAACAACCAAAGAAAGGATAAAGCTCTCGACGTTGGTCAATACCTGAGGGATAGGCATGCATTCCTCTTAGACGTTTCCAGTCCGTTTGAGGTGATTGAATGCATATTCAACCTTAACAAATGATTCCCGGTGGCGCCCCGTTGTTCAAATCCCTAGTAATTATCTTCTCAGACAAATCTGGGACCAGTCTTTTACCAGTTCAGTAAACCCGAAAAAATGGATAGTTTGGTGATCCATGAGCATGAAATCTAGCTATTGACCTAGCGTTTAACGCAGAGCACCTCTAACCACTGCGTTATATTGTTCTTATCAACCAAACAACGGGCCCGAAACTACACGTCGATCTCTCGATTCGACATTCCTCTCAAGACTCTACTGTGCAGCAGAGACGTGGGCTAATACTTCGATCGCGTCAAGACTACTGCGAACAACTCACAAAGCTCTTTAACGATGTCTTCGGAGATTCAGTCGGTACTCACAAGATTGGCCGGCTTGCGCAGCGTATATCTCCAAAACCTATCTCATCTCCCCGATTTATGAAAATATAGACTGACAGCTAAGCACGGATGGACAGGTCATACAAGAAGAACATCACTTAAAGCTGGACAAAATGAACTATAGAGTGGACTTCACGTGGTCACATCTGTTCCCGAAGACGACCACCTACGTGTTGACGGACGTGCCTATAGAAAGAATCAATCAGCTGTAATCGTAGCTGCTGATGTTATACAGATTACGATGTGAAATTCGCGTCAGCTACCATGCTCGAATTAAATCACCATTATGGACGACAATCGAATGAGACACATGGAAAATGTGCAGGGGTCCGCACTAATCATCATAGCGAGCCCTTCAAGCATTGCGAGTAAGTGAAATCTTAACGTCAAAGAAACGATTCGCAATACAAAAATCCGCCACGATTTCATAATATCTGAACATATTTCATTTCTCTGGGAAATGCGCTTTTTCGCTTTTTTCAAACATGTAGTGGTCTTTCGATAGCTCAAATCTCGGCAATTTTGATATCATAATTGGCTCCTAAAAAGATATATTTAGCGTGTTGTAAAAGCGAGGATAAAACTGCGTTTCATATCAGCCCAGTTTGCTCGGTTAGATCATATGAATGAATGGCTGCCTGGATGGTATTTCGCAACGTACGGCACCGGGGAGGCGAGGCTCTGTGAATGGTCTGTCAAAACAAATTTGATGGTTGCCTGAAAGCATGAAATTAGATGATTCTGAGACTAAGGTTACCTATTCAAAAGGTCTTCAAACAGCGCTGGACGAGCGAAAAGAAAATCATGCTTCGCGTCTTTAGACCTATGCCGCTTAGGCTTAGTATCGGGCTTATTTTACAAAGAAATTTTCTGGCGTTTTGTTGAACCATCTTATTAGCATTTTTTTTGACTGTGCGCATCCAAGTACTCCTAGCATTCAATTCGTTTTTTTTTGTCTCGTTCTTGTACATCGCAGAATACTGATCGAGCACGTCTCCTTAGAATATCGAGGATAGCCTAGTCGTGGTGTTCCATGAGGCGTCCGTTGAGTTGCAATAGTGTTATGGGGCAGAGTTTAGCTCACGAGCGCCACAACAAGCTTCACTACCATTCAGCCATGGCACCCCCATTTGGCAATATAAGTTAAAGTAAAATCTTAGGCCTGTAGAACGATAAAACAAGGTTCTTTCTACCATTCTAATACAGAAAGCGTACAAATTTGTGCAAAACGGAGAGGATTGTTTTGAATAGTCAAGGAAAATTTGCGTGATGATGTGTGGAGAAGGTGAAACTCAACTTCATTTTTGCGGCTAAGGCGCATCAAAAGACCCTTTTCAGTCATACATAAGATAAATGAGTGGTAAGCAATAATTCAGTTTCAGACAGGAGTTGAAACTGCGTATCGTCCATACCCAGGACGCGTGCTACCACTGCACCACAGAAGCCACCGCTTGCTCACCACTCATTCTCAGATGCTTTTTTGAAACCAGCTGAATTTTTGAATCTCCGAGATTTATGCTTTCAAATGGTTGCTGAAAGTCTGAGGAAAAAGCAAAAGAGAAGCTGCTCTCGAAAGGTAGAAAGATGAAGGTGATAACAGAGAATTAATTACCGCATATACCATTACCCACGGACCTCCCTCTTTGAGGGATCCCGCCCGGCTAGTCGCGAGGGCACGTGGCGCATCCCCAGGTGGTGGATAGGAAAATAAAACGCACACTAAAAGCGACCGTGTGCTTCCAGAGACGCAGGGATTCAGGGAACGAGCTCCCTGCTTCTTCAGTGTAGACTTGACAAGAACACTATTTTCACGAGGGTCGGCCAAAAGACTGCAATTAAGCGGCTGGAAAGTACATGGGAGGCGGTTAGGAGTCGCCTCCAACAAATAAGCTCCTCCCGCTCCTACGAGTGAGACTGACGAGCTACTCGCGAGTATCCAGGCCCCACGTTTAGAGGCTGGCAAGCTATACGTTGGGTATCAAAATGCTAAAAACAGTAACAAATATGGGCCTCATTCCCCTGACCCCGAAAGAGCTTCTGGTACGGCAACGCCAGGTAGGACGAGTACGGAGAGGCTGCTAAAATCTCAGGGCCGAACTAGGCTGTCAAGATCGAAACGGACTAAAATGACGATCTGTACATACTATGCAAGAACCTTTACTAACGAATCCGTTGTAGAAGATCTATTGATTCAAGTAAGGAGATTAAGGTAAGACGTCATTGGCCTGGCTGAGACGAGAAGGCGCCACCCTTTTTACGCTGTTTATGACACCGGAAAAGAACGGTTTCTTGGTACATGCGATCGCAGAGGTGCCGGCGGCGTTGGCGTCCTCGTCAAATCGATTTTGACCGTGCGCACTGATTCGTCTGAACAACTAACAACCCGTATCGGACGATTACGGTTGAAACGATGTGGATTTATGCCTTTTACCACTTTCGTTGCTTGCACACCAACATCAAGCTATGACGAAGACGAAGTCGAAGCGTGCTATATGGACCTCGAAAAACACTTCAGAGAAGATCATACATTCTTCAAGGTCATTGTGGGAGATTTTAACGCAAAAATTGGACCTAGAAGAACGTCTGAAGGACGTCACATAGAAACCCACGGACTAGAATGGGATGAAGAGCGTGAGAGGCTATCTGAGTTTATCATGACAACTCAAACCATCCATGGTGACTCGCAATTCCAAAAGCCTCTATCTCAGCGATGGACGTGGGAGTCTCCCAGTGGAGAGTATCATAACGAAATAGATCACCTGTATCACCTGTCGTCCCGTTGATCGTCGAGTGACTCGAGCGGGTACCAGCAACTCTTCCATTTTTCCCTATCGCGTGCAAGAGTAGCCCAGTGGGTCCTCCTCGCTCTAGGAATTCGCTGAGCATCATATCTTTCTTCCATCGCCTTCGTGAAGAAATCGGACCAACGGGTCAGTGGTCTTCCTTTAGAGCGCTTGACGTCCCGAGGAATCCAGTCGGGAACGGCTCTCGTCCATCGGTTGTCGTTGAAGCGCATCACGTGTCCGGCCCACCCTATTTTCGATATCCTGGCGTGTAGAACGGCGTCTCTGACCTTTCGACTGCGCGTTCGATAACGGTAAGTGATCTTTCATCCTGCTTACGTAGCGACAACGTCTCTGCTGCATACGTTAGGGCAGGGATAATTGTCGAGTCGAAAACGTGGGCACAGAGTCGGATGGACGTGGGAGTCTCCCAATGGAGAGTATCATAACGAAATAGATCGCATCATAGTAAATCGAAGGTTTTGTCTGACAGATGTCGGTGTTGTTCCTAAGTTCTACACGATATCAGACCATCGCCTCCTTCGCGCAACGTTTCGATTTTCGAGCAGAGGAGAGAAAGCCGCCAAATTCAAACAACGAAGTCTCAAAACTACCATGAACTGGGACGTATTCAAATCGATAGTTGGCTCTTGGGAAGATACCGTTGTCGACAACATCGGCGACGAATACGATCGACTCGTTGAATATCTTCACGTTGGCCCTAAAAAAGCCGAAAGTCCTAAGGTCACGAAGAGACGCTTGTCTCCGCAGACACTCGAGCTGATACGTCAACGTGGAATGCCACGAGCTGCAGACAACCGAAACCTTAGTCCGAACTTGCGAATCGTCGCAGAGAAGCGATAGAAGAAGACCTTGAAGAGAGAAGATCAGCAGTTACGGCAGAAGCTGCAAAAGCTAGGAAAAACATTCGCAAAGCCCAGCGAGGCTTTGCCAACTATAAGACCAAGATGATTGCACTCCGATACCCTGACGGGGCACTTACAGCTTCGAGAAGGGCTATGGAGAAAACCATACACCAGTACTACTCAGATCTCTTCGCTAGCCACCTCTTACCGTCATATAAATTGAAAGAGGACGAATATGTTGTGCCACCGGTCCTCCCTTCCGAAATCCGAGATGCTACATCGTCGGTGAAGAACAGACAACACCCGGTACAGAGAGTATTAGACCAGAACACCTAAAGAATCTGCCGCCAGTTCTCATCAATACCCTGGCTCGGCTCTTCACTCGCTACCGGTCAGAATGCAAGGTCCCTGTTCAATGGAAAACCAGCAAGACCGTATTGTTGTTCAAAAATGGAGACCTTCACGACATAGGCAATTTTCGCTCAGTCTGCTTGCTGTCCGTTGCCTATAAACTCTTTACTCGAGTCATCCTCAACAGGATTGACAGAACACTGGACCAAGGACAGCCATGCCAACAAGCAGGGTTCCGAAAAGGATTCTGTACCATAGACCACATCCACACGCTTACAAGACTCATTGAAGCTTCACGAGAGTACAAATAACCACTCTGTCTCACTTTCATCGATCTGAAGGAAGCTTTTGATTCAGTGGAATCAGAAGCAGTTATAGAGGCTCTACATAACCAGGGCGTCCCTACTCGGTACACAAAGATCATTCGTGAGCTTTATAAAGATCTTATGACCAAAATGTCTCCATTCTACAACAATATCACCATTGACGTAAGAAGAGGTGTTCGACAAGGCGACACAATTTCACCAAAACTATCCACTGCCACCTTATAAAACGTCATGCGAACATTAGAATGGGACGAAATGAGAGTGAAAATTGACGGTCGACAATTAAACCATCTTCGCTTTGCTGACGATATCGTTCTCATGACACCAAACATCAGCCAAGCGGAACAAATGTTGGCCGATTTCGATAACGTCTGTGGAAAGATTGGTCTTGAACTGAATCTAACGAAAGCAATGTTCATGAGGAACGGATGGGTTTCTAATGCCCCATTCACGCTCAACGGAACGACAATCTCCGAATGCTCCAGTTACGTCTATCTAGGTCGTGAAATCAACATGATGAACGACCTAGCTCCAGAGTTGAGCAGGAGGAAACGAGCGGCTTAGGGAACGTTTAAGAGCATCGAAGATGTAGTGAAGAGGACAAACAACATCCGACTCCGTGCCCACCTTTTTGACTCGACGATTATCCCTGCCCTAACGTATGCAGCAGAAACCTGGTAGCTACGTAAGCAGGATGAAAGATCACTTGGCGTTATCGAACGCGCAGTCGAAAGGTCGATGCTAGAAGTATCCCGTATCTCGCAAATGAGACAAAGGATCCGAAGTTCCGACCTACTTCAACGATCGAAAATCAGAGACGCCGTTCTACACGCCAGGATATCGAAAATAAGGTGGGCCGGACACGTGATGCTCTTCAACGACAACCGATGGACGAGAGCCGTTACCGACTGGATTCCTCGGGACGTCAAGCGCTCTTAAGGAAGACCACTGACCCGCTGGTCCGATTTCTGCACGAAAGCGATGGAAGAAAGATATGATGCTCAGCGAATTCCTAGAGCGAGGAGGGCCCACTGGGCTACTCTTGCACGCGATAGGGAAAAATGGAAGAGTTGCTGGTACCCGCTCGAGTCACTCGACGATCAACGGGACGACAGGTGATACAGGTGATATACCATTACATGGATAGAAAAACACTAGGATATGGAGAAAAAACAAGAAAGACGAAACTAGAGAGGGAAGCGGACGATTGACCCAGTTACACATGTGAGCGGCACGTCTGTTTTACACATAATTGTTTACCGAATAGACCATATTCTGTTTCCTTTTTCGATCACCGCAGGTGAAATCGAATTGGTAAGTAAGTTTCACTGTGATCTTTTCCGTATCCCACAACGCAACTATTCGCCAGACGCCAAACCCTCACAGAAAAATAGGTTCTTGTCCATTAAAAGGCGGCAAATGAAAAACCGATCTCATTCGCTAGGGGGGATTTTTCATAGAAGTGTCAGTTATCATTCAAAAGCTCAAATCTCTGGCTAAAGCAGTATTAAGTAACTTAACAAGTTTTTAAAAAGATCCTTTTATAACCCTCTGAAATTCAAAATAAAGTTGTGCTTCACATCGGCTGCGCAATTATAATTGTTACTTCGCTGGAAGCACGAAAGCCTCATGAACACGTAGGCAGTTTGTTCGAGTATCAGAGTCATACATATATTATGGAGTCTTTTAAAGCGGAGAAGCAAGTCGTAATCAAATAACAAAAGTCGTAGTTCTCCGAACAGCCAATCAATCGATGGCGGCCGGCTGCCGCATCGAATCTTCTGCCACCTGACCTGCCCCTTCCCTACCTCACCGTGGATTAGCCTATAAAAAAGCAAGCCGAATATGTGAAAGTCAATGTTCTTTTCTCTGCTAGACTGCAAAAAAAAAGATTTTGCAAAAAATAAGCACAGCGTTGAAATCCTTGTATCCTAGGCTATAGAATGATTACTAGAAGTCTGAAGAAGGATCTCTGTCTCGCGAGAAAAATGCATGCGTGAAACACATAGGTTTTCTTCAGAAAAAAAGCATTTTGAAAGACGGGCAGCGTGTAGCCGGAGCTAGAGATCTAAGCTTTCGGATGTCTTTTAACACTCCTATGAGAAGTTCCTCTAGAGCA